GTTTTAACGATGTGATGGGTGTTCTATTGTATGTTGTTTTTGCATAGCTAGGTGTCTATCGCTGACAATATCACTTAACTTGCAGGGCAGATGATGGGACAGTTTTGCTGAAGGTGTGTAGCTGGTAATCCTTTCTCGTGTATTCGCATGGATTTTGGCTATTCACGCTAAGTGAAAGTGTCTTGTTAGGATGTGAAAACGAATAATGTTCATCGTCAAAAAACTTCCCATAGCTATATAGGATTGAATAGCAGGTCGTTTGATCTAAACCAATTAGATGTACCTTGTTAGGTGGCTACCTATGGCAGGTCAAGGTCAGGTCATGACTGTCAGCGAATGTCACTTCTAGGAAATCCTTCAATGTGATGCAACAACGGAGTGTTAGACGAAGCCATGCACATCTTAGATGGTTTCTTAGGCAATACACCAACTGAATTGGGATTGCAGCCAATTCAATGTCTCTACGGTCAGGTCTGAAGGTCAGGCCGAGTTCAGAACTAATGTGTTTTTTACTCGAGAATTTGGTTTACAGGGTAGTTTCTGTTGGTCCTTTCGAATTCATGCTAACAGGGACCACGACAGACATGCTCCACTGACTTTTTAAAGTTGCGAAAAGGTCATTGACTTAAACTGACCCAGGCCAACATTTTGTTTTGAGGAACATACCACCTAGCGTGATCCCTGACACTAATTCGAATGTCAAAATAATAGCAATCTCTCAATGTTTTTCAATATGTTCAAAAAGATAAAAAATCAAGGTATTTGGTCACCTTTGACCTTATAAAGGTCAAACAATGTCACTGAACACCACTGCACATCATTGCCATTTTGCTTAGAGAGATATATAGCATCACGGTGGTTGCATGAGGAGGTCTACCATGATGGGATGGATGGGCATAAGGGGTACTGGAGGCACCAATCTGGAGTTCGACCTGTTTAACCTTATTTTATCCCTAATTCACGATAACCTAGGAACCTCAAATTTTGCTGGAATTTAGCTCACGTATATGCCAACCTACCTTGTGAATTTAGTGTCTCTTCCTGTCTTAGTTTTTATGTCTCTGTGGGTCAAATTGCCCCCACTCGAGCGAGAGGAATTCAATCGGCCACCCGGGTGCGCGCTAGGGTCATATTCAAGGCTGTGTGGGAGATCTATAGCAGTAAAAAGGTTTTGGCTTATTTCAGATTTTTGAAGGTTGAAATATTAACCAGAGCATAAACGAGTGTTCGTCAGAAGTCCCGACTTCTCAAGGTCATCTTACAATGTCAAATCAGGCTCAACTGACGGCGCACTCCATGCTATCCAAAAAGTACCGGCCAATTAAGGATTTCAAGCATCACAACACACACCCACGCATGAAACAGCGTCTAAAAAATCTGACATTTTAAGGTCACTGTTCAGGGACACATTCAGGTTCAGATGATGAGTAGCTTCTTATCATCCAAGAGTTTACAGCCGATCCGCGGCATACACACATTGGTCAATGCGGAATTTGGTGGCATTTGCGGCTCCTTGCTGCCATTGGCTGTTCGGCGTATTTCAAGGGAAATGCTACACACTTGAAGATATGAAGAGATGAACTCCAGAACGCCAGATATGAACGACTCAACAATTCTATTTGTCTTAGCTTGATCGCCCTTTGGACAATAGAGTGGCAGGATTCGAATGACGTTATTATGGCATCATGGATGCCTGGGCAAGTCTGCACAAAATTGTCTGCACATCTTTGCGGGCGTTCAGCTCAAAACTAGAGAGCCTTAGGCCTTGCATCGAAGGGTCTTCAAGACGCCTAATTCATTTAAAAACTTTTGCAGATGTCGAACACTCCTTTAAGTTTACAGCACGTTATTGGATAAAGTAGTGACTGACCAACGATTAAGAGTTTACTTACGATTTTATAGCTTAACATTGTTCTATTATATCATATTAAAGATAAGTAGCTATTAGGGCGACATGGCTGGTGCAAGCATCGTCAGATAAAAACTGTATTGTGCCGCTGTCATTTTCCTTTTGGTTGCAGCTGATTGCTACACTCCAGTGAAAAAACTCAAGCGGTGTCATGGGATCTAACGAGGAGATGTCACGAATTGTATCATTTGTATTATCATTATTATTGCAAACCTCGGCGAAATCCAGCGAGTGGCTATTCTAACGCCGCGTTAATACATACTACATAGATAAACACAGAACACACAACACATGCAAATGAGACGCAACGCCAGCGATACACATACGATGTTATAAAACATGAGCGACTTGCGATACAACCAGCACCTGCACGTCATGGCCATTTGGTCAATTTAGGTAAGTTCTTTGATGAAATACATTGCTTTACCCTTGAACTCATCAAAGTTGTTGCACCGGTGTGTGGCAGCAGGGAGGCGATTCCACGCTGCTACGGCTCGGCAGTGAAATGCCCTTTTCACGCACTCTAAGCAACGGTGTTTTTTTAGCGCTCGTCTGCGGTACAATTTCGTCAACGGTGGTGGTGCTGGTGTGCCGCTGAGATACTTCAGATCGGCGCCTGATCAGATTACTGATACCCTGTGGCCCATCAGACACATGAATGGCGCGATGCAAACATATGCAGTCACGGTAGGTGACAGTCTCGTTGAAATCGGGCCAGTTTGACTGCTTTCGAGATTCCGTGATGTGATCTCGTCTGCGTTTACCGGCAACAATTCTGACCGCGAAGTTAATAGCCCTATCCAGGCGTTAGCGCTGAACGGCTATTGTCGGGGCCCACGCAGGTAAACAATATCTGATGTGAGAGAACACCAGAGACGCAATCAGGGACATTATTGTGGGGCTGCCAAGGGTGGTCAGTGGCGCTTTTCGCGTCAGATCGGTTATCCTGACGAAGCTTAGTCTCGCGCTGCGCCACATAAGCAACTCCAGGGCAGTAGGTCCGGACAATGTATGCCTATCCGTGCTCAGGAAGTGTTTTGGAGTGGTTGGCCCTCACCTGTTACACATTGTAAACCACTCTATCACCACTGGTAGCGTCCCATCCATCTGGAAGCCTGCGACAACCGTGCCTTTGCACAAGGGGGGGGGGAGGGGGGAGGGGGGAGTCAGGCGTCCGAGCCGTCGAATTACAGGCCGGTCTATCAGCGTTTTCAGTGTTGCAAACAAGCTGACGGAGAAGGTTGTTTGTACCCAGCTTTTAGAATATGTGACTAGTCACCATTTTCTTGTTGAATCACAATACGCGCACTGTCCCCACCGAGCATGCAGCCGTCGATATAGTTAGCCACATAAACAACAACATGGACGCCCGTATGTTCACCGCTCAACTGACTTCCCAAAAGCCTTCTATTTTGTAGACCGTTCTGATTTTTTAGCCAAGCTGGAATGCCATGGTATTTCATCGCACTAGTTTTCGGATTATTTCGCCGACCGCCGACAGGCTGTGAAGGGTGAAACGGGCGGAGCCTTGATATGGCGTGGTTCAGGGCAGCATAGTAGGACCGCTGATGTTCCTCCTCTCTACCAACGACATCCAGTGTTATGTGTCAGCTACGTGTAAACTGGTGTCATATGTAGACGACATGCAGCCCATGCATGAATCATCACCATCTGACTGTGGTCTCGCACAACTGCGTTCGTGCGTTGAGTCTGATCTGACTGCAGTCTCAGTATGGTTTCGTCACAATGGCATGAAAACCAACCCATCAAAGCTGAAGCAGGTGGTGAAGTATTCGTTGAATTTGTCGGCGTCTGTTCGGTCCAGAGTGTTGGTGGATTTTGCCGGTTTGTTAGCGATGGCGTATTTCTTCAGCTTGCACCAGGTTTTCGTTCATGTTTCGGTAGGTTCGCACTTGAACAAGTCAGTTTTGGCAGTCCTGAGCCGACTAGGGAATTCGTTTTTGAGGGCCCTATATTGACGTTTTGCCTCGCCCGTCTACGTAATGTCACGCGCACGCCGAGCGGTGTCGCGCCTCGCCTGCAGGTCGTGCAGCCCATCGCTCCCGCTCAACCAGGGACACTCAGGTTGGCGGAATCTGATCGTCTTGACAGGGCAGTGAGCGTTGACGTGCAGGTTCCAGATGTTCAGGAACTCGGCGTATTTGTCATCGGCAGGCGTGGCACTGTAGATGGGCTGCCAGTCAGCCAACGACATGTCGAGCATTACGTGGTTAAAGTCGGTGTTTGTTGTCGATCTGACTGTAATGTGTCGCTGGGCAGTTTTAGCTTTCGGGAAAGGTGTGTCCAGAGTGATAAGGTAGTGATCGCTGATGTGGCATGCAATCACTTGCGATCTGATAACATAGGTTGCTTCGTTTAGATGTGTGGAAGAGGTGACAGAGCAAGGATGTTCCAGAAACCACGTGCTAAAATGCTCCTTTCTGGAGACAAAGTTGGTGTGGGCACCGTCGCACCGGCTAGACCATGCCCACCCACGCATATTTATCTGTTTCATGAGTAGGTGCTTCATTCAAGACAACCAGTGTTTGGTCCAAATCATTTGAGCGATCGTATTCATGGACCATGCACGGAAGCATTGAACAAGTTTATTTTTAAACGGCCTTCACAAGAACAGCAAGCATATCGTTTACTGGTGGAGCCGGGAGGACCCCTGGTTAACTCAGAAATAGAACGCTGTAAACATAGTCTTGGAACCTCTGCTCACATTGCAGGATTTCCAAAGAGTAAATTGGGGTCGCGGTGCTTGTACTATGTAAATAAATAAAACATTTTAACAGACACCCAAATGCATTTACTACCGGTGTGGCATTGCAGCACCAGCAGCCTACACAGCTCATGAGCTGAGCAGGCGTCATACGGCCAGCACGGGACACGCTTTACGCATCGGGGAGCCCGTCCGCAGCGGTCTAGGCTGCACCGGGACGGCTTGTGAAGACCGTTCACTGAATGTGCAGAGCATGAGGTCAGTGGGCTCTGGAAGTCAGTGGTGGGCTTCCAGTTGTCTACGCTTTGCGGTAGATCCAGCCCTATTGTAACTCACCCGGCAGCGGCTGATAGAAACACATGCATGTTGTGGAGTTTTTGCATTTATTATGCTCAATTCACCTGAAACGCACTAGATCGCGGCAGCTGCGGGGAACCCCGCGCAGGATCCATTTGTAGGCCTTTGGATGACCTTTTCGGTGCAGTGGGTGCATCAACGTATGCCATCTAAGGTTAAATTTCCCAAGTCACCGATAATACGACACTCAGTGCAGCTGTGAAATTAGCCGCGATGACATTTGCGGCATGCACACTTCTTAACGAGGTGACAGTGGTAGCACGGATGTTTTCGAGAACACGGTGACTGACTGCAGTCACAACTGCACTTCTTTCCCTTACAGTGCCAGCACGGATGTTTCGGGTTACAAAAGGGGAGGTGGTCGCATTCGCAGTCGCAGTTCTTTCCACCGGCATGACAGTGCCAGCACGGATGTTTCAGGTTACAAAAGGGGAGGTGGTCGCATTCGCAGTCACAGACTTTTACCCGGATGCATCTGTAGCATAACCAGGGCTTGCCACACTTGCGGCCTGAAACGAAAGATCGGGGTTCTAATGGAGGTGAAAACGGCGAACGCAGACTTCAATGACAGGTGCATGGCTGTGCTCGATCGTTTAATCGAGCCGGTAAACAAATTTGATGTTGGATACGGAACGATAACGTTCGTCGTGACTTTTTATGCAACATACTTTCAAAGATAATGACTGCTCCAGCGTCCAATGCATCCAGAGATAATGAATGCTCTGAGTCTACTGTATACAAATATAATAGCTGCTCTAGCGTCTAGTGTATCCAGAGATAGCGGCTGCTTTGAGCGTCTAATACATCCCGAGTAATGACTGCTCTGAGCGTCTAATATATATATAAAATTATGTCAAACACACATGCAGCTATACAAGCATTCATTCCGGAAGAAGAGCACACTCATGTGACCGCTAAATGTAGAAAGGAACCTCCCAACTGCTGCGGTAATTGTTTACAAAGCGGCCGTCATCTGTTGAGAAAAGCGACCTTTGAGAGGCCCACGGGCACGCGTGAATATTGAATGGTGTGGCGCCTCACACTTGTGAAAGACATGTCCATTTTACCTGCGGCCTCTGTCGTCGAGCTGAGCGCCAGGACGGCAACAGTGACGCTCAGCAGGAGCACCGCCAGCTTCATGGTGACCTCTGGAGGTGTGGGCGGAGGCTCGGCAGATCGATGTTTGACCGCTGCAGCTGAAGCCCGCTTATATAGGGACCTGCTGCCTTTCACATTGCAGATCAGCTGTCATACAAAGGTTGTCAAAAGTGCACCATTTTGTGAGGGTCGTTGTCACGGCACGCGTCTCATGTCAACGGGTGTCTCCCCCCCCCCCCCCATAACCTCACGTGACTCATGCGAGGAGTTAATGCCAGGGGGTGCTTTGACCTTTGAAAACTTGTTGTGGTGGCCGTACCCCGCTGTTTGAATATACAAAAAGGAGAGTAATACTTTGATACGATTTCATTTCACTCACTGTTGCTTAGTTACATCTACCTGACATAGTTTGACAAGAACTTTCTAATGCCGTTTTCGCTGTGGCTCTGGCTAGTGCGTCGTTTGCAAAACTGTATGCAGCTTAGCTTTCTGTAGAACTGAGGCCCCTCGCACGAAGAAGGTGGAAAGGCCGCTCATGGGCGAAGTTTAGTATTCTTGCCATTTCAGGGATCACCTGATTTGGTCGTGGAATACTGGGTGCTGCATGCTACAGCGGGGCGATCTTTGGCTTATCGCTCTACCTAGCATCTGTAGTCTGTAATGACAAAAAACAAGGTTCTTGGCAACGATGCATTCTATGCTCACATTTATTGCTCCAGGACTAACGCAGGTGGCAGCCATAAGTGCTTTTCTTTCATCATTGTCACATTTTGTGGAGCTGGGTACCTCTTTGGATGGGCCTTGCATCACGGCCTCTGAGTTAATTTTGTAGATTCCTCTTCTTACTGTTAGTCAAGCGCCCCAATCACATGAATGCATTCACGCACCGGAAAAGTGCGTTATGTTTTTGTTGCATGCTTAGCTCGGCTGTCTTATTTTACAGCACACAATGTTGCCGCCATCTTTCATTAACCCAGCCTTAGGACGAGAAAGGACGAATATGATTTCCTTAAAAGTGAACAGCGGACAGTATTTGCATGCTAGAGGTGTATGTAGCTCCAGGTAATGAACGCACCTTCCGGAACCAGCGGGGAGGGAGAGCATGGGTCTCGCCTCTTTGCTCTACGTTGGGAGGCGGAGGGATCTTGATTTCGAATAAGACTGAGTGCAAAGTAATTAAAGTAATCGCACATAAAAGGAGGCGCCATCTTTCTTTACCTGAAAATCAATGGCAACAGATTGAAAATAATGAATGTATATGGCACCTCAGACCGCGACAAACCCGCAATTTGGAAGAAGTTGTTAAAGTTAGCCAATTCTGACATAGCCATAGGCAATAGCCATCACGACAACGTAATGATTTGCGGTGACTGGAACCTAGCCATGAATCCAGGAATGCATATGCATATAAAAGATGGCACAAAAGAAAGTCTAAGGAAAGTTTTTGATGAGCTTGTTGATTTGCAAAGTTTTCTTGTCTAAAACCAAATGCTTCTAAAATGTCTTGCCATGTAGATTAGCAATAAGGTACTTAAAAGTGAAAGGATATGCCCTAACATTGGTTTGAACTTAGTAAAAATACTTAAGGTTTTAGGGATTGTTTTGTAACCAAATTGCCACAATACTGTCGAGTAAAACACGTCAGTAAAGACGGAAGCAATCTTGAGAACAGTCAGAACATGACAAAATCGACATCTTACTTTGACCGGGAAAATAGTCGTGGAAAAACGTTAGTGCTGTCTCAAATTACTCATCTTTTGTTTTCGCCTACATACCACAGCCTTTATGGATAAGTTCCACCTAGTGCCTGCTTGTGCCACACAACATTCAAAGGGTTTGCATTTGGAACTTCGGCATAGTGGCTTTAAAGTAGCTATCAGCTGATATACAAACCGTTTCTGGAGAGACGTGGTCTCTGCCTGGATTTCATTTCCGAAGCTGTTTTCTATACCCCGTGCACTTCTTTGCAGCAAGAACATATTCAACTTTGACGCTGCTAAGTTTAGAAGCGGAAAACATAACAGCTGGGTGAGAACAGGTATCATATTTGTAGCCGATGTCTTCGAGGACAGGAGACTGATGTGGCAAAGATTTAGAGAAATGTATAATATTCCCTGCATATAGTTTGAATATTACAGCCTACTGCGCAATCTGTCAGGATCCCTAAAAAGAGATTAGGAATAGGGACGGTATCAACGACCGTCAATGTCAGGACGCGCGCATTACTTTTTAAAAAATACAACATTCACAAGATTTTTTGCAAGACTGTTGTTTCAAAATGACCACGAAGCACAGAATGGCGTTAGTAGAATCAAGAACAGGTGGGCCAGAGACGTTGAGGCTTTTGAGCTATTCTCGGTCATATATGCAAACAGCAGTTCTATCAGTGTAACTCGATACACGTCCGTTCCGTTCAAACCTAGCCGCCTACCGGCCTAGCCGTGTGCAGCCGCACTGGGTCACACGGCCGTGCCGGACTCGTAAAATGTCTGTTTCGCACAGTTGGTGTCTGTAGCTGAGTGGAGGTTTTAGCGATGTGATGGGTGTTCCATTGTACATTGTTTTTGCATAGCTGGTGTCTATCGCTGACAATATCACTTAACTTACAGGGCAGATGATGGGACAGTTTTGCTGTAGGTGTGTAGATGCTAATCCCTTTTTCGTGCAGTCGCATGGATTTTGGCTATTCACGCTAAGTAAAAGTGTATTGCTAGAATGTGAAAACGAGTAATGTGCATGGACAGCAGGTTTGTATAGCTGTATAGGACTGAATAGCAGGTCGTTTGATGTAAACCGATTAGATGTCCCCTGTAAGGTGTCTAACCTATGGCAGGTCAAGGTCAGGTCATGGCTGTCAGCGAATGACACTTCTAGGAAATCCTTCAATGCGATGCAACAACGGAGTGTTAGACTAAACCATGCATGTCTTAGATTCTTAGGCAATAAACCAACTGGATCAGAATTACAGACAATTCAATTTACCTACGGTCAGGTTTCAAAGTCAGACCGAGTTCAAAACTAATCTGTTTTTTACTCGAGAGCCTGGTTTATAGGGTGGTTTCTGTCGCTGCTTTCGAATTTATTGCTAACAGGGACCGCGACAGACATGTTCCATTGACTTTTTAAAGTTCAGAAAAGGTCATTGACCTAAACTGACCCAGGTCAACATTTTGTTTTGAGGAATATACCACCTAGCGTAATTCCTAACGCTTATTCGAATGGCAAAATGATAGCAATCTCTCAGGTATTGGGTCACCTTGACCTGATAAAGGTCAAACAATGTCACTGAACCCCATTGAGCATCATTGATCTTTTGCTTAGAAGAGATATTAGCTTCACGGTGGTTGCATGAGGAGGTCTACCATGATGGGATGGATGGGCATGAGGGGTAATGAAGGCACCAATCTGGAGTTCGACCTGTTTAATCTTATTTTATCCCTAGTTCACAATGACCTAGGAACCTCAAATTTTAATACAACTTAGTTCACGTATATGCCAACACACATTGTATATTTAGTGTCTCTGCCTGTCTTATTTTTAGATCTATGTGGGTCAAATTGCCCCCAGTCGAGCAAGAGAAATTCAACCGGCCACCCAGGTGCGTGCAAGGGTCAAATTCAGGGCTATATGGGAGATCCATATCAGCAAAAAGTTGTTGGCTGATTTCGGATTTTTAAACATTAAAGTATTAACCAGAGCATAAACGAGCCTCCGTCAAAAGTCCCGACCTCTCAAGGTCACCTTACAATGTCAAATCAGGCTCAACTGACGGCGCACTTCATGCTGTCCAATAGGTACTGGCCGATTAAGGATTTCAAGCATCACAACATTCACTCACCCATGAATCAGCGTCTGCAAAGGTGTGACCTGTCAAGGTCACCCTTCAAGGACAGATTCAGGCTCAAATGATGGGCAGCTTCTTATTATCCAAGAGTTTCCAGCCCATCCGTGGCATACACACATTGGTCAGTGGGGAATTTGGTGGCATTTGTGGCCCCTTGCTGCCATTGGCTGTTCGGCGTATTTCAAGGGAAATGCTACACTCTTGAAGATATGGAGATATGAACTCCAGAACGCCAGATATGAACGACTCAACAATTATATCTTTCTTGGCTTGATCGCCCTATGGACAATAGAGTAGCAGGATTTGAATGGCGTTATTATGGCATCATGGATGCCTGGGTAAGTCTGCACAAAATTGTCTGCACATCTTTGCGGGTGTTCAACTCAAGTTCAACTCAACTCAACTCAAACTCAACTAGAGAGACTTAGGTCTTGCATCGAAGGGTCTTCAAAATGCTTAATTCAGCTCAAAGCTTTTACAGATGTCGAATACCCTATTTAAGTTAAGAGGATGTTATTAGATAAAGTGATGACTTACCAATGATTAAGAGTTTACCTTACTATTTTATAGGCTTAACATTTTACTATTGATATCATATTAAAGATAAATAACTATTAGGGTGACATGGCTGGTGCAAGCATGGTCAGATAAAAGCTGTATTGTGTCACTGTCATTTTCTTTTTGGTTGCCGTTGATTGCTCTACTCCACTGAAAAATCTCAAAGGGTGTCATGGGGTTAAAGGAAGAGATGTCATGAGTTTTGTCATTTTTATTATCATTATTATTGCAAACCTCGGCGAAATCCAGCGAATGGCTATTCTAACGCCGCGTCAGTACGTACTACATAGATAAACACAGGACACACAACACATGCAAATGAGACTCAACGCCAGCGATACACTTACGATGTTATAAAACACGAGCGACTTGTGATACAACCAGCACCTGCACGTTACGGCCATTTGGTCAATTAAGGTAAGTTCTTTGATGAAATACATTGCTTTGCCCTTGAACTCATTGAAGTTGTTGCACTGGCGTGTGGCAGCAGGGAGGCGATTCCACGCCGCTACGGCTCGACAGTGAAATGCCCTTTTCACACACTCTAGCCGAGGGTGTTTTTTAGCGCTCGTCTGCAGTAGTTTCGTCAACGGTGGTGGTGCTGGTGTGCCGCTGAGATACTTCAGATCGGCGCCTGATCAGATTTCTGATACCCTGTGGCCCATCAGACACGTAAATGGCGCGATGC